AAAATATACAAGCAACTCCTCCAGCTCAACTCCAGAAAAATAAATGACCCAATCAAAAAATGGGCCAAAGAACTAGACAGACATTTCTCCAAGGAAGACACACAGATGGCACAAAAACACATGAAAAGATGCTCAACATCACTCATTATCAGAGAAATGCAAATCAAAACCACAATGAGGTACCATTACATGCCAGTCAGGATGGCTGCTATCCAAAAGTCTACAAGCAATAAATGCTGGAGAGGGTGTGGAGAAAAGGGAACCCGCTCACACTGTTGGTGGGAATGCAAATTAGTACAGCCACTATGGAAAACAGTGTGGAGATTTCTTAAAAAGCTGGAAATAGAACTGCCATATGACCCAGCAATCCCACTTCTGGGCATACACACCGAGGAAACCAGATCTGAAAGAGACACGTGCACCCCAATGTTCATCGCAGCACTGTTTATAATAGCCAGGACATGGAAGAAACCTAGATGCCCATCAGCAGACGAATGGATGAGGAAGCTGTGGTACATATACACCATGGAATATTACTCAGCCATTAAAAAGAATTCATTTGAATCAATTCTAATGAGATGGATGAAACTGGAGCCCACTATACAGAGCAAAGTAAGCCAGAAAGATAAAGACCATTACAGTATACTAACACATATATATGGAATTTAGAAAGATGGTAATGATAACCCTATATGCAAAACAGAAAAAGAGACTCAGATGTATAGAACAGACTTGTGGACTCTGTGGGAGGAGGCGAGGGTGGGATGTTTCAAGAGAACAGCATCGAAACATGTATATTATCTAGGGTGAAACAGATCGCCAGCCCAGGTTGGGTGCATGAGACAAGTGCTCAGACTTGGTGCACTGAGAAGACCCAGAGGGATAGGGCAGAGAGGGAGGTAGATGGGGGACCGGGATGGGGAATACATGTAAATCCATGGCTAATTCATTTCAATGTATGACAAAACCCACTGCAAGGATGTAAAGTAATTAGCCTCCAACTAATAAAAATAAATGGAAAAAAAAAGAGATGGTTGGATGGCATCACCGACTCGATGGACATGAGTTTGAGCCAGCTCCGGGAGTTGGTGATGGACAAGGAGGCCTGGTGTGCTGCAGTTCATGGAGTTGCAAAGAGTCAGACACAACTGAACTGAACTGAAAAGCTTCGCTATATGAGTTAGATTTGTTTTTTAGCAAGTCCACTGATTCCTTTAAAATAATTATGAAAAAATTTCAAGTCTTTGTACTTCCCTGGCAGTTCAGTGGTTAAGACTTCGCCTTCCAATACTGACAGTGCAGGTTCATTCTCTGGTCAGGTTGCTAAGATCCCACATGCCTTATGGCGAAAAAACCAGAATATAAAAACAACAGAATCAATATTATAGCAAATTTATTAAAGACATTAAAATGGCCCACGTTGAAAAATCTTTTCAAAAAATTCATGTATTTTAGAGTCCATCTTGGTGCTTGGTAAATGACATGAAAGTGAAGTGTTATTGGATCAGCCATGTCTGACTCTTGTGACCCCATGGACTGCAGCCTATCAGGCCCATCTGTCCATGGGATTCTCCAGGCAAAAATACTGGAACAGATTGCCATTTCCTTCTCCAGGGCATCTTCCTGACCCAGGGATCAAACCAGGCTCTCCAGCATTGGCAGCGGATTCTTTACCATCTGAGCTGCCAGGGAAGCCTTGGTGCTTGGTAAAATGGGTATTTTTCTGAGATAAATGGAAGTTGTGACCGGGTGTTCAGCTTCTTTCTAGGCAAGTCTAACCATGAAGTTTATATTCATACAGTTTATTTTCAGTGGACCATCTGTGGACTCTGCGGACTTGAAGCACCTCATCTGTAGGCCAGCTCACAGTCTTTCCAGAAGCACTGGAACTGCATGACACCCCTTCATTTTTAAAAGGTAAAATCTTGAGGCCCTTTAAGATGAAATACTGGATATTGAAAAGGTGTGGAGTTGCAAACAATGATGCTTTATGGAAATTTAAGGATTCTGGAATTTTGAAACAATACAGGGGAGGGTTCCCATAGTCCTTACTTAGACCTGGGTTCTCTTGTCCTGGAGAAAGCAGATGTTCTGACCCTTAAGGCAATCTGATGGACTTCCCACAGAGCTCTCAGCCAGCTTGGCCTGGCACCTGTTAGCCATCTAGACCAAGGCATTCTTATTAAGCAAGATCTTCACTGACTTACATGAACAGCCCAAGGAAAACTTTGCGGTATGACCCTGGGTTGACATTCCGGACAACCAGTACAGAACTGCCTGCCTTAGGTGGGTCCATGATAATCGGATCTGAGGCAGCCGGTGGGTACCCCTTTCCCCATGGAAAAAGAGAAGTGCCAGCAGCCTGAGCAAGTTCAAAAGTGGGAGGAAACTCAGGTCCTGCATAGACAGAGGCAGAGTTTACACTGTGTGCATCAAAAGCTCTGGCCTTTTCTAACACTTATTGTCAATTTATAGTTTTTTACCAATAGAGGTCGTCCTCATATTTTAAAAGCTTTATTCCTGGATTCTTCATTCCTTGATCCCATTATCCGTTGTTTATTTTTACTTAATTTCTCTTTGTTGCTGGTAAACAGAAATGTGGCTGGGAGTTTTCTGTGCCCTGACTTGACACACAGAAGCCTTGCTCCTTGCCTGCTCAGCCGCTATCTTGTCCGACTTTCCGATTCCATGGACTGTAGCCCGCCAGGCTCCTCTGACCCTGGGATTGTCCAGGCAAAAGTTCTGGAGTGGCTTGCCATTTGCTTCTCCAGAGGACCTTCCCAACCCAGGGATCAAACCAGCGTCTCCTGCATTGCAGGCAGATTCTTTACCACTGAATCACCAGGGAAGCTCGGATCAGAGGTTAACTGGTTCTAAAAGACAATAGGGACCCATGGAGAGGCTTCAAGGAAAAGTAACATCACTATAGTTTGAGAAAAATGCTTCTCGTTACCACCTGTCAAAGGTCACCAAGGCCCTGCTGCTGGAATTTATCAGATTTTGCTTTTCAAATATGTTATCTCAATGATCCTTTCAAAAAACAAGTACATACGGATGTGATCTATCTTGTGTACACTGGTAGAAATTTACTTTCACATACATTTTCCCAAATAACCTTTACAACAAGCTTTTCCACATACAGCTTGTAAAAGCTGAAGTCTGCTCATATGAAGTCTGAGATTGTATAAGGCAGTGGTGCCCAAACTTTTTGGCACCAGGGACCAGTTTCAAGGGAGACAATTTTTCTCATAAGAACAACCTAGATCTCTTGCATACTCAGTTCGAAGTAGAATGCACGCTCCTATGAGAATGCCACCGTTGATCTAACAGGAGGTGGGGCTCATGAAGTAATACAAGCAGTGGGGAGTGGCTGTAAATACTGATGAAGCTTTACTCTCTTGCTCACAGGCCACTCACTTCCTGCTGTCAGCCTGGCACCCAGTCTGTGGCCCAGGGGTTGGGGGGCCCTGATGTAAGGAGTGAAGCAAGTGAAGTATGAACTAAGGGCAGGGGATGGGTGGGGCCAACTTGGGAATGAACGCCCTGCTAAAGGGTATGGATTTGCATAGGAAATACTTCCTTTTATGTAAAGGAGGCTGGATCAGACCATATAGTCAAATTTGCTTATGCTCACATAGAGGAACTTAGGAAGAGTTCCCCCAAGAAATCAACAAAATAGCCACATATTGAGCAAAGTGATGGGAGCAGGCAGATGAGAGGTGGAGAATGGGAGCAAACTTTTTCACTGTATACCTTTGTATATATTATTTTAAATGTTAGAGCCATATGAATGTATTGCTCAAACTTCCAAATTAATAAAAAATAATTTTAGTAGACATGTAAAGTCAATTTGCCATTCTTCAACTCCACTTTTATCATGGAGAAATGCAATCTGAATGTTGGCAGTTCTTCCAATTTTTAAGAAATGTGAAAAAATTGAGATTTGGAGTTTCTTGTCTCATCTTTCAAAGTTTTAATGTGACATAATTTAAAGTTACAGAAAGTTGCAAGGAAGAGCACAAAAATTTCCATGTACCCTTCACCAATCTTTACCAATATTCCCCAAAGATTCCTCTGTGTGTGTGTGTGTGTGTGTGTGTGTGTGTGTGTGTGTGTGTAAACAGATAGTTAGATAGATGAGAAACGTTCTTCCTAAACTGAGACGCTGAAGACATGATACCCCTCTCTACCTAAATACTTGACTGTATATTTCCTATATGCATTCTCTGGTGTAACTGTGGTGAAATTGTCAAAACCAGAAAATTAGCATTGGTATCTTATTTGGATTTTATTAACTTTCTAATAATGCTCTTTCTTTATAGCAAAAGAAAATCCTAGTTCATGTTCTGTATTAAATTTCCACGTCTCTTTAGCCTCCTTTACTCTAGAACAGGTATTCAGTCTTCGTGTGACTCTCATGATTCATCATCAACTTTAAAGATCATCAAAATAATCAATTTTAAAGATTCTGGATCTGCAGTGCAATGCATTTTCCAAAAATGATCACAGTATTTCTAGTCCCACATGTTCTTCCAGAACCTTCTTACTACTCTCCATTAAGAGGTGGAGTCTTGGAACTTCCCTGGTGGTCCAGTGGTTCAGAATCTACCTTCCAATGCAGGGAACGCAGGTTCGATCCCTGGTTGGGGAACTGAGATCCCACATGCTGTGGGACAACTATAGTCCACCTGCCACAACTAGAGAAGCCACACGTGGCAACGAAGACCCGGCATCATCAGAAAGGACAAAAAGAACTAAACTCCGCCTGCCACAACTAGAGAATTCACACGCAGCAATGAAGACCCAGCACAGTCAGAAAGGAAAAAAAGAAGAGAGAAGAAATGGAGTCTATTTCCCCTCCACTTGAGCCTGAGTGGGATTGTTACTGTTCTGACCAGTAGAGTGTGATTGAAATAATATTATTTGAGGCTAGGTCAGAAAAAGAAAATACGGCATTTGTCTGATTCTTTTCTCTCTCTCTCTCTCTCTCCTTGCCCTAGGAACCCAGCCACCACTTGATGAGGAAGCCAAGCAGGCCATGTGGAAAGACCACATACAGGTGTTTCTGCCAACTGCCCCAGCCAAAGTGCCAGCCGACAGCCAGCATCAACCGCCAAACAGGCAGATGAATGAGCCTTCAGATATTTGCAGCCCTGAGTGTGGAGTCTTCTGGCTGAGACCCAGACATCGCAGAGTAGAGACAAACCAACCGCTGTGTGCTCATTCTGAATTCCTGGCCCATAGAAGCCATGAGTATAATAAATGATTATTTTACACCGGTAAGTGTTGGGGTTATTTGTTATACAACCACAGTAACCAGAACAAACCTGTTATTTTATAAAATATCTTTCAACTTAATTTATATTTGTCCAGTGTCAGAGTTGTTTTTTAATGTTTCCATTTTTTAAAATATTAGTTCAAATTCAAACATTTTAAAATACAGTGTGGACCAGGAAATGACTTTTTTCTTTTTTTCTGTTTTTTTTTAATTGAAGCAATATATTTAAAGTAAAAAAAGAAAAATAAAAAGTTTACCCACTTCTCCGCTTCTCCCAACTCTCACCCGCTGCATGTCAACCATTGATCCATTCTCTGTATATATGAGCTTTCGGATTTGGAGGATTTTTTTTTTTTTTTAAGATTCCACATACAAGAGGGAGTATACTGTATTTATCTTTCTCTGTCTGACTTACTTTACTTAGTAAAAAGCCTTCAAGGTCCACTATGTTATTGAAAATGGCAAGACTTCTTTTTTTTGGTGGATGAATAATATATATATATAATATATTGATGAATTATATATGTGTGTGTGTGTGTATATATATATATATCTTTATCCATTCATCCATCAATGAACACTTAGGTTGCTCCCATATCTTGGCAATTATAAATAATGCTACAGTGAACCTGGAGATGTACATATCTTTTCAAGTTAATGTTTTTGTTTTCTTCAGATAAATACCCAAAGTGGAACTGCTGAATTGCCAAAAACTAGAAACAAGCAAAATGAACTTCAACAGGTGAATGGATAAATACACCATGGTGCATCCATACAATAAAATAATATTCAGCAATAAAAAGAAATGAGCCATCAAGTCACAAAAAGACATGAAAGAAACTTAAATGCACATAACTGTGAAAGAAGCTAATATGAAAAGGCTACATCCTGTGTGATTCCAGCTATACGACATTCCGTGGAAGGCAACAGCTACAGAGACAGTAAACAGACGAGTGTTTCCCAGGGATTCAGGGCAAAGGAGGGATGAATAGGCAAATGCACAGGGCAGTTTTAGGGCAGTGAAACTATTCTGTGTGACACTGTAAGGGTACATGTTATTATACATTTGTCAAAACCTATAGAATATTCAACACAAAGGGTGAAACCTAATGTAAACTACAGACTGTAGTTTAAAATAATGTAGCAATATTGGTTCATAAATTATAAGAAATGTATCACACTGATGCAAGATGTTAATAATAGAGTACACTGTTGGGGACTGGGGGAGTTCATACAGGAACTCTATGTTTTCTGTTCAATTTTTTCTGAACATAAAAGTTCTCTTTTTAATAGATCGAAAGTTATCAAACAAAAAGTGTGGGTCAGGACTTGCTGGGTGGTCCAGTGGTTAAGAATCCACCTTCCAATGCAGGGGACATGATCCTTGGTCCCAGAAGACTCCACATGCCACAGGACAACTAAACCCATGCCCCACAACCACTGCCCTTACTCTAGGGTCTGCGTGTCACCACTGCTGACACCTGAGCACCCTCGAGCCCACAGTCCACAATAAGAGAAGCTACTGCAATGAGAAGCCTGTGCACCGCAACTAGAGAAAGCCCATGTGTAGCAATGAAGAACCAGGGCAGCCGAAAATTAGTTAATTAATTAGTTCGTTTTTGTTTTGTTTTTTTAAAGAAGTATAGTTCAAACACGCCACCTCCAAAGGATCAATATTTGGTAACCCTTGCTTAAGAGAAATGAAAAAACCATTAATAAACAAACAAGTCCATTTTCAGGAAAAGAGATCTGCAATAAGCACCAATTAACATCTACAGTTAATACCTAAGTTAAGACTAGAGTTCAGGCTTCCTCTTTCAATTCTGTTTTTTTAATTGATGGATGAACTTTCATTCTTTTTCTAATTGAAGTATAGCTGATTTATAATGTTGTGTTAGTTTCAGGTGTACAACACAGTGATTCATTAACACATTTTTTTTCAGATTCTTTTTTATCATACATTATTACAAAACACTGAGTATTTGTTTCCAAGTTCTTGCCAACTACCTTGGTTGCAACCTAATGCTCAAATAAAGCTTGTCTTTTGTTCTAAACTGTTTGTCACTACAGGGGAAAACCCACTGAATAAAATAAGAGTCATCACTTTCAAAAATGAGCCAATAAAGTTGCTCAGAAAGCACCAAGAATAATCAGTCTGATTGAGAGTGACTTCCCAAGCCGGGATCCAGAGAGGCATCCCCAGGGTATATGTTCCCCTAGGGTTGCTGTGGGGCTTCCCTTCTGCCTGCAGTGTGAGAGAACTGGGTTTGATCTCTTGGTTGGGAAGATCCCCTGGAGAAGGGATGGGCTACCCACTCCAGTGTTCTGGCCTGGAGAATTCCATGGACTATGGTCCATGGGGTCGAAAAGAGTCAGACACAACTGAGCGACTTTCACTTTCACTTTCGCAAGGTTGCTGTGAGAGATACAGCTAGCATTGCCCTTCCAAACTGCTATTTTTTTTTCTTTCTTTCTATGCTATTTCTTAAGAATCTTGATAACTTATAAAAATGAACCATGATTCTTAAATCTTTTCAGAGAGAAGAGTATAGCTTTTGCTTTAGAATAAAATGGTTGCGGGCATGCACATCTACTTAAATCCTTTTTATTTGTGTGTTTAACCACATCAGTCTACCTTGTTTGAAAAATTAGTGCAAATCTGTGAAAATAAAGAGGCTTCCCAGGTGGCATCAGCAGTAAAGAATGCACCTGACAGTGCAGGAGCCAAAGGAGATATGGGTTCATTCCCTGAGTGGGGAAGATCCCCTGGAGAAGGAAATAGCTACCCACTCCAGTATTCTTGCCTAGAAAAATCCCATGGACAGAGGAGCCAGGCTGGGTACAATCTATGTGGTCACAAAGAGAAAGACACAACTGAGCTCGCTTGCCACTGGCATTCTGAAGAATAAAATATTAATTCTTTATATGTGGTCAGTGTCTTACCTCTTTAAAAAAGTATGTTCATGTGGAGGTTTTTCCCTCAACAATTCTCAACCCAATGGTACAGCCAGCAAAAATGATACTATGCCCATTTTTCAAGTGAGGAAACAGAAATTCAAATTGTGTGGATCAGCCAAATTCTTGCAATAGATTGTTATTGTGCTTGTGCTCAATTGTGTCTGACTCTTTATGATGCCATAGACTATAGCCCACCAGGCTCCTCTGTCCATGGGATTTCCCAGGCAAGAATACTGGAGTAGGTTGCTATATCCTCCTGCAGGCAATCTTCCTGACCCAGGGATCAAACCCACATCTCCTGCAGCTCTTGCATTGGCAGGCAGATTCTTTACCACTGAACCTCCTGGGGAGACTTGAAGAAGATGAGGTTAGCCAAACTACGGCTTAATCTTCAAGACTTTACCCTTCATCACATGGCTCATCAGATCAGTTCAGTTCAGTAATTCAGTTGTGTCTGACTCTTTGCAACCCCGTGGACTGCAGCACACCAGGCTTCCCTGTCCATCACCAACTCCCAGAGCCTACTCAAACTCAGGTCCATTGAGTTGGTGATGCCATCCAACCATCTCATCCTCTGTTGTCCCCTTCTCCTCCTGCCCCCAATCCCTCCCAGCATCAGGGTCTTTTCCAATGAGTCAACTCTTCGCATCAGGTGGCCAAAGTATTGGTGCTTCAGCTTCAGCATCACTCCTTCCAAGGGATATTCAGGACTGATTTCATTTACGATCGACTGGTTGGATCTCCTTGCAGTCCAAGGGACTCTCAAGAGTCTTCTCCAACAACACAGTTCAAAAGCATCAGTTCTTTGGCACTCAGTTTTCTTTACAGTACAACTCTCACATCCATACATGATCACTGGAAAAAACATAGCCTTGACTAGACGAAATTTGTTGACAGACTAATGTCTTTGCTTTTTGATATGTTGTCTAGGTTGGTCATAGCTTTTCTTCCAAGGAGCAAGCTTTTAATTTCATGGCTGAAGTCACCATCTGCAGTGATTTTGGAGCCCCCAAAAATAGTCTGTCACTGTTTACACTGTTTTCCCATCTATTTACCTTGAAGTGATGGGACCAGATGCCATGATCTTAGTTTTCTGAATGTTGAGTTTTAAGCCAGCTTTTTCACTCTTCTCTTTCACTTTCATCAAGAGGGTCTTTAGTTCTTCTTTGCTTTCTGCCATAAGAGTGGTGTCATCTGCGTATCTGAGGTTATTGATCTTTCTCCTGGCAATCTTGATTCCAGCTTGTGCTTCATCCAGCCCAGCATTTCACATGATATACTCTGCATGTAAGTTAAATAACCAGGGTGACAATATTCAGCCTTGACATACTGCTTTCCCGATTTGGAACCAGTCTGTTGTCCCATGTCCAGCTCTAACTGTTGCTTCTTGACTTGCATACAGATTTCTCAGGAGGTAGGTCAGGTATGGTATTCCCATCTCTTCAAGAATTTTCCACAGCTTGTTGTGATTCACACAGTCGAAGGCTTTGGTATAGTCAATAAAGCAGAAGTAGGTGTTTTTCTAGAACTCTCTTGCTTTTTCAATGAGCCAACAGATGTTGGCAATTTGATCTCTGGTTCCTCTGCCTTTTCTAAATCCAGTTTGAACATTTGGAAGTTCATGGTTCACATACCGTTGAAACCTGGCTTGGAGAATTTTGAGCATTACTTTGCTACCACGTGAGATGAGTGCAATTGTGTGGTAGTTTGAACATTTTTTGGCATTGTCTTTCTTTGGGACTGGAATGAAAACTGACCTTTTCCAGTGCTGTGGCCACTGCTGAGTTTCCAAAATTTGCTGGCATATTGAGTGCAACACTTTCACAGCATCATCTTTCAGGATTTGAAATAGCTCAACTGGAATTCCATCATCTCCACTAGCTTTGTGGTGATGCTTCCTAAGGCCCACTTGACTTTGCATTCCAGGATGTCTGGCTCTAGGTGAGTGATCACATCATCTTGGTTATCTGAGTCGTGAAGATTTTTTTGTATAGTTCTTCTGTGTATTCTTGCCACCTCTTCTTAATATC